GCACTTCAGATAAAGCACAAATTCACATAAATATTAACTTATTATGATAAATTAATATAAGCGAACACAGGCTTCAGTCGCACAGAGGTTAAAATTAACATAATGGTATAATAAATAATTTTCTATATGAACTTGTATTTATACTAATATTATAAAGCTGAAGAGTTTTTTATTTGTCTGCTTGAACGCGCTAATATCAGAAATTGCTGGTTCTAATTGAAGAATTGGAAAATGCGGAACAAACGATGAAAATTATTCCTTTGAGAGTTTCAAGATACCAAAAAACTTGTATCAAAGAATGATTCTTCCTTACATAATCTAAAAAAATGTCTACAACAATATGTGTCTCTTTCATTATCAATTTGCTAGAACAACGGGACACGAACAGCATCGGTGGGTATGAGGTTAGCAAAAATAATTTTGTCGGCCCAAAAAAACTAGTTATATTTGTCTATGTATATATATGTGATATCTAGAGTTTTAAAATCTCTGAAGGCTTCTAAAACGACTTTTTGTCACATTAGCAGTATAAGTGATAAAAAACCGCACGGAACTCGTACGAACTATGTTTTATCGCTTGTTTGCGGTCCTCGACAACTGGTGCACTGTCCGTGTACACTCAACCAGATAACCAATACTTAGTCGTGAAATAATAAATATCGGGTTACGAACAACTGTCCACAGATAAAAAAGTGAAATTTAATCCCGTTTCAGTTTCAGTTTGCGGATTACGTCATTTCCGATTAGCCAAAGCCATTTAAATAAGATGTTATGTTTTTAATATATTTTTGCTCCTAGATCCATAAGTATTGTATGTTGTTTACGCGTTTAGACATTTAAATAAAATACTTTTAACGGTTTAAAAAGCGAAATATATAAGTTAAAGTTATGATCAAGATAATTTTAAATGTTTAGCTTTTGGGTTTTTATTGCAAACATCTTAAAAATGCAAATCTACCCCTTTATATTTATTTTGTTTTTAATTGGCTTTTTTTCCTTCGGGTAGAAAATTTTTCCCAGCTTCCGAGACGTTAATGTATGTGGGACCCGGCTGTCATAAGAAACGTCATAGAAAGGCGCTATAAAATGAATTTCCCTTGTGCACTCAGAATATCAAGTCTAAACAATTTCCGTCTGCGGTCTTTGCTCGTGACATTATCCTATTACCTGCTTTCCCTTGGTTTTACATCGATACATTTCCCTTTTAACATCTTTAATAGCAGACTCGATTACACGAGAATTGTGCAGAACATTGAAGGACGGGGAGGTAATTGCTTTAGTGGCGGGGAAAGCGCGGGTCTGAGTTCCAGGTTTGGTATATTCCTAAATCATTCCAGAGTTTTATTTTGCTCGGTGATACTTTACATTGAAACAATTAAATGTTACTATCGACCAGACTTGCTTACTAACAACCAAAGAATATATGAATCTTTTGGTACTTAATTGCAGAATGCATTTAGAAATAAGTTGTAAAACATGTTTGAAACTACATGGATGTATAGGAATTCCTTCCGGGACCACAGATGTAAAAGTTGTGAAATACACTCGCGTTCTGTTTTCAGTCAGGTTTTCAATGTCCATAACCAAAATAGGTCGAGATTGCATTTAAGTAAAATGCCATAGAGGTGGATCGACGGTGCAAGATTATCTACTCAAAATAGATCTTAAGATTGGCTTAAATCCATCTCAGCTGACAAAGGGCCGCAAAGTTGGTAACACAATTGGTACTATTATCACACGCCGACTAACGGAATCGATTTCCCTCACTATGGCTTGCGTAACATATTGTTCCATCTTTATGTTTTCAGATCTCTTGAATACCTCAAAACGATTTTGACAGAAAATAAAGATAAGTTAGAAAGATTTTGACAGAAAATAAAGTTATAGATATTTGTAAATAAAGATAGGTCATATTTCTACACTCCCGGGGTTCCAATCTGGTTCCCCGAGTGAATCAAGCTTTCTGTAATGATATACTAAAAAATAGTATTTCGAAAAACTTTTCAAACAGCCTCACACTTTCCTTAGCCGACTGTACATCGGCGATGGCCGATTACTGACAAACAACGTAGTTTGTCGAGCATCCCTAGCCTAGTTTTATCGGCAAACTTTAGTCGGCTTCTCCGTTTGTCCCCAGTTCCGAAGTTTGCATCGACGTCCCAGATTTCTTATAGGATCAAACTTTTAACGCAATCAGCCTACGATGCCAGATATTGCCTCTTTTGTTCGTGTTACACTTCTTATTCGATTCGTTGGATATGGAACATATTTCGTGTTTAGATTCGATTAACATTTTTTTAATCCTTTTGAATAATTGGATCCCGTTTCCCCGTGGGCGGACTGTCTGATTCAATAATGGATTTTCACTCTGTGCCCTGTCCGACCGAAATACTTTCTCCGAGATTCGAAACCGGAACCCCTCGCGTTTGTTGTAGCGAATTGCATATCGTAGTTAAAACATTTTAATTGAAGTTTAATGTTCTATGCTTTGTAGAGTAAGGAAGTCGTCTTAAATGACTGAAGTTAAACATTTAAATAAAACACTTTAACGGTTTAAAACGCGATATATTAGGTAAATTTATTTGGAAATGATTTTTAACTTCGGCTCGACGTTTCGGATGCTTTGCAGCAGCCGTGGTCACGGAGAGACCGTCTCCCCGTGACCACGGCTGCAAGTTAAAAATCATTTCCAAATAAGTTTAACTAATATATCGCGTTTTAAACCGTTAAAGTGTTTTATTTAAATGTGTACTACTCGCGTAAACTATAGACAGTATTTGAAGTTAAACAGTTTAAACATTCACAAATTAACGACTTTCATTAAAAATGGATGCCACAGGTGGGGCTGGATCTACGAACTGCAGTTCACTACCATATGAAAACTTATATGGAAGTGGTTTGTATTTTAAAACACTCCTGATATTTATCATGTCGCTTATACTGTTCTTTTTTGCGTTTGATGCTGCATACGTCGAGCGTTGATGTACCAAAGGATTCCAATTCCTGTCAATTATCTAATCGAAGCCGGGGTCATTTATGGGTCACTAATGGCCCAAGAAATGAGGGCAACCGGGTCCATTCGTTCAGTACCATGACCTAATATCAAATGGCAGTTAGATCCATCTACTGGATCTTATTGACTGTTAATGTTTTTAACAGAGATTGGATATGCGATTTTGATGAACACAAAATTGTTTTTCTTTTTCTATTTCCTATCGTGGTCTCTCAATAAATATTAACTATTTTTTAGTAACTTTACGTACTGGTGCAGCATTTTACTAATAAACTCGCTGTGCTGTACGTAACGTATTATACTCTGTCTGTGTATTTTTGTATGTAACGGATAAACTCAAAAAGTACTGGACCGATTTTGATAATTCTTGTTTCATTAGAAAGCTACATTATCACTGAGTAACATAGGTTATATTTAGTACTTGATTACCATAGGCATCTATATAAATTCTTACTAAAACCAACGGAAGGCGTAAAAAATTAAGTCGTAAAATGTCTTTCTTTGCATACGCTGCGAAAAGTATTAATGATAGGACAAAAAAATGTTGGACAAAATTATAGAATATATCATTATCTACACAACATTGCAAGACCACATGCCTAACTATTGTAGGTATGTCACTATAACTACTTTTTAACGTTTAAAAAATTGATAGAAATGCCGAACAAAATCAGACCGTGTTATCAATACAATTTATAAATTTTTATCCAAATAAATAATTTAATATCCAAGACTGTCTCAATACCTGATGATTACTCTTTTAAATATTGAAATCGGACATTTCATTCAAAAGATATCATGAAATTAAAAAAAAATACATGCCGGCGACGGCCGCCAAGCCGCGCATCGAGTAACTAATTCGACGATAGAGGGGTAGTGGGCTTCTTACGCAGTAGGCGCGAACGACATTAAATATTTCGATTTTTTTTTAACATGTTTATGCTTCACTTAAAAAGTTATTTTCAAAGCTACTTAGTTTTAGTATTAGGAATCACTTTGCATAATATTCAAGTTCAAAGCGATAGTTCTTTCCAGAACTATCGCTTTGAACCCTCAGGATTTACGTCCGTAAAGCTCACATCATAGAATAGAAGGCCTAGAATTGAGACCTGTACCAGTGGAAGAAATTATCTAATCCTAATTTCATCTTTATTAGACACAAGAAAAAGCAACAGTGTTTGACGACGACGACAGGTTGCAAAGGTCTCTAGGTCCACTTATTCCATCGATTTGTTAGGAAAGATATAGAAGAATAGGATTTTCAGCATTCACAAATTCATATTTAAATTTCCCAATAGTTGTCAAACTCTGTTTTAGCCTCTCTCCCGAATGCAAGCATGAAACAATGGTAAATAGGTGAAAAGCGAAAGAAAATATTTAAAAAAAGCGAGCGACGCCGCCCGTAAACATAGTTCTTTAATAATAGCGCTTTCTGACAAGGGAAAAAGGTAAGAGGACACGTTTATTTTTGCCGATGTCAATAAATTGAATTGTGAAATTCCTATTTCGTATTTCTCAAAGCAATCCTAGTAATATTCAGTGTACAAAAGCGCTATTGTCAACGGACTTAGAAAAAACGAATTACTATATCCTTACGATATAAAAAGGAACAGATGTGTTTCCTATTTATTTTTTTCTTTTCTCTAGTAGTTGTTGTTTAGACACAATATTTGCGAGGTTCATGTTCTGGAGGACTGTTTCATTTAAATGGGGAAAGAATTCTTCACTAACCTATTTTAATTACAGGCGATTTGGTGACCAGACTTTTAAAACCCTACCTTAAGGAAATTATTAAATTCCTCGCGATTCGCGAATTTAACGCATTTTGGAGTATTAAAGGAAAAAAAAAGAAAAAAATCAGTTCATATAAATTATCGCACGGGAGCTTATTCCGGAGTGTCAGGCACTAAACTTTTAACATTAAACCAACATGCCCAGAAAAGTTCGTTGTAAAACAATATTTACAAAAGGAAAATGTAATTTTTATTTATCGGTACAAATGATTGTCCCTAATATTGCTCACGATTTCCGGTTCCCAGCGGTCTCCATTCGTCAGCAGTTTCTCTTTATTGTAAAGCAACTCTTCGTGTGTCTCCGTCGCGTACTCGAAGTTGGGACCTTCGACGATTGCGTCCACTGGGCACGCTTCTTGGCAGAAACCGCAGAAAATACACTTGGTCATATCAATGTCGTAACTGAAAGACGTAAATAATTAAAGCTAAAAAAGTTGTGTAAGTTTTATGAACTTTAAAATTTTGTTTCGTGTAATGAAACTGCATTTTGGTATTGAAGTAGTAGTTGTTGAAAGTAGTGTGTTGTGTGTTGGTTAGAGCATTTACAGAGAAAGGTTTTAGGCTATAAAACATCACACTTCAACTAACAAGAAGCATGTGAACATTATTCATCTTTGTGGGTTTCCGTTGCGTGCCCTGCTGAAACGGTTCAAGATTCCCAAGAAAAATGTATGAAAAATTATTTTTAAAGCGATCTAAAAAAATGTCCTTGACTATTTATGTCTATCTTTGAAAATTAACTTGCAAGACCGATGGGATGCGGATGTCGTCGTCGTGTACTAAAATTATTTTTTATAGTTAAGAAGGTTGTTTGCAAAAAATAAAAAGTTTGATGCCCAAAATAATCATTCTACTCATTCATGTTTTATAGTATCACTTGTAATGATTTAAATATTACTTGACTCTCGGCTGTGAGAAAAAAAGCAAGCAGTGAATATACCGTGTCGCTCGCCTCGACCCATCTATCCTCTCTTCTGCTTCAATAGTAATAGCTTGAGCTGGACATATAGCTTCGCAGAGCTTACATGCTATGCACCTTTCTTCCCCTGAAGGGTACCTTCTGAGAGCATGTTCCCCGCGAAATCTCGGGGATAGTGCCCCCTTCTCAAAAGGGTAATTTATTGTTGCTGGCTCCTTGAAAATATGACCTAGCGTCACCGCGAAACCTGTAAATTAGTCTTTTAGTTAATAAAACTAAGGATCAAACCTACTGTAGTGGCAATTTGGACGACTTTTGATTTGAAGATAAACAGCGAAAAAATACTTTGTCTATGTCAATGTCAATAATGACGAACGAAACTGGCATGTCCCGGAACCAAATTATTTGACTGTATTGTCTACAATTTTGGATTTTAGTTGATACCATTGACTTCGTAGTTTACAGACTATCTTGTGAGATTTTAGTCTCAACTATGGAACTCATTAAGTGTATAGTCGTCTAATATTTTTTTTCAAGTTATAAAACCTATTTTTATTCAGCGTAACAGTTAATATATATATATTTTAAGAGATATTCTTTCCTTATACAACAATTCATATTTAATATACAAGGTTATTCTTTGTTGATACTAAAGCTGAAACACGTCAAACGTCTCTTTATTCGCAGAATCAGGATAAAAAACTAAAATTAAAAAAAAATTAAAACCCACGAAGTTTTTAAACTTTTTCATGTTACTATTGATCCTGCATTATCATGGTCTCTGAGCAGGCGCCGACGCAGCTATCTCGCACCCCCCTCACTCCTCCACTTCGCGTCCCACACCTTACACTACACGATTCACTACTTATATGTACCTATTGTCCGGCCTTAGGATGTATTTATGTAAAACTTTTGGCAATAACATTTCCCATCACACTTACAGACTTCTGGACTGTCAGAATGGTTAAACGTCATTTAAGTCTAGCGTTCATTATTGAGACCAAAACTATTACAAAGCGCCTACAAACCCATATTCAACTATTCCGGCGCGTTTAATAATGTTAATCACACTATTGATAAAGCACAAAGATTCGATAAATTAATGTATTTATCGAATCTTTGTGCTTTATCATTTTCGAGCAGCTCTTTGCCAGTCTGAAATGATAAGAGTACTGGTATTCATTACTTAAAGTCCGTCACACGTAAGACTGACTCACGTTGAATAATCTCCCTACTGACCATCGTCTCGTAAGCGCTGCGTAGCACCCAGAATTGTGTTCCATACCAAGATGCCAAATTGTTCATGATAACGTCTCACTGCTCCGGCAACATTATTACCACACAAAGCAAGTGTTCGCACCATTTCCACATATTGTACATTAGTATAATTGTAAGACATGTTTCTATTTAAACTTAAAAAAACAAGGAAAAAAAAAGGAAGGAAGTTGTTACGTAATCACCGCGAAAGGGTTGCGCGCACGCACTGATTGATGATTTTAGGAGACAAGAGCGCGGGGTGGCTGGCGCGAGCGGAAGCGGTTAGTACAAAGCGACGAGCCGCCGCCGCGGATTCTCCGAAATTTTAGACCTATTTAGTTATACTTATGTAGGTATTTATCGAACGGTGTCCAAGATTTCAAAAATTTCATATAATTATGACAAAAAATATAACGTGGTATAAAAACTATTGGAATGGATTCTGCTACTGATTCTGAATAAACTACTTTCAGGTTTCGCACGAAGTAGGAATAACCTTGTATAAGCAGTCAAAATAAGTTTTCAAAAAAAAATCCATACGAATCTCAAATGGCACTTATTACCCCAAGTAGGGCAAGTAGTGAAATCAAACCAACCTCGAGCTAATTCCAACCAAAATATAGACTGGGCAATCCTGTCCACCACATCGCTGAATCCGGTAGCCGGCGGCACGTCATTGATATAGATGAACCCAACCTCATACTTGGATCTTGGGCAGCAGTAAAAAGGGGGGACCGGGGAGCAGCTCGGCGGTGGGTAAGGCGGCACAGGTCGCCCCGGGGGAGTCGGACATGAGAACGAAGACTCCGCTTTCGTCTCCTTCGTTTTAAACACTTTTTGCCAGAGATCTTTCGTCGCCCTCCGCCACATTCCTCGTGACACGCGCCAACGTCAGATAAAAAGCCTATTAATTTTATCTCAAGTCAATTTTAATGGCCATTATTTTTCACGTAAAGAGGTTTGACGCGCGCCGAATCGATTAAGTGTCGGGCCTAATGACGAGTTTTTGATTTATAGGCGCTATGCTCTACGGTTTAATTTTTCACACTATTTATGGCGGGGTCGTGTGGAGATTGTGAAGCGAATTTTAGGTTTTACTTCGATAATCGTTGTAAGCCGTCGTGATCTGTAAAATATCCTGTCCAAGGTCTTTCGTTTGAATTTTGAGTATTTTATACTTTCTGTCGGGCAGTGTCCTGAGTTACCAAGTCAGGTCAGAGGTCACGTTTTTTTTAATAATGACTCAAATGTATTTAATCTAATAAAGTTTTAATAGTTAATCAATAAAAAAGACAGACGAATAAAAATATGTAATACATACTTTTCACGAAGGTCTAATCGAGAATGTTAAATGTAAAATTCAAAGGTAAATAAAATTGGCGCAAACAAGATTCGATTCCAAATGATCGAAGTCAGATGTAGTAACAGTCTGTTAATTCATTCAGTCTGTTTGAATGTTGCTGTGTTTTTAAGGATCCTAATAAGCCTATGTTATACAAGCGGCGAATAAACTAGGTTATACAAAATTAGGTCACTTTTGAGCGGGAAATCGTTAAGTTTGACAGCGCAGTTACACTGTTTGACATTTCCTTCGCTTCTTCAAGCGTTCCAATTAAAAAATCGACATTTTGATTCGCTCCACTTTTACGTTTTCGGGTGGTGCGTGTTTTTGCTCATCTTTTGCTTTGAAATCTAGTTTGTGTTCGATATCAGCGGTAGCACTTGTAATAACGAAAAAGGGTTACAATATGAAATATGTAGAACCTCATACTGTTGTTTGATTAATCGGAAAACATCGTGCGCACTTTGCCGGTTTTTAATTCAGGTTGTTTCAACTTGTATGCTATACATTTTTAAACGTTGCCAATACAACATTTTTATATATAATACTAGCGGCCCTGTCCCAGCTTTGCACGGCTAGACATAAATATGTACAGATATTTAAATTATAAGCATGCTAACTAAAACGACCATGAATCACTAAATTAGAAAAAAAAAATGTATTTTGCGTCTTAGCTGTTAACGACCTGCGAGCGTTCAGTGTTAAAGTCCCGTGCACGCGTTTGCGAATTCCTAACTCTATTTCCTTCAAGTCGCTGCGACGATCTTGCATTTTGTTTTGCAAGACGAACCTGAACAATCGACGATAGATTCTCTGGCTCGCGATTCCACTTCCAGACGATCATTTTAGGATGAGGACTCTCCAATGCGACGAACTTTTGCTAATCTCGCTTGGGAACTATTCTTAGATAGCTGCGACCTTTTTCTTTTAGGCATATTGCTATGAAGGATGTTTATTTTAAATCAGGGAAATTAAGAATAAAATAATAATAATACAAAAAAAAATATTCAAGTTCAAAGCGATTGACAAACATTATGCAAAGTGTGATTCCTAATACTAAAACTAAGTAGCTCTGAAAAGAACTTTTTAAGTGAAGCATAAAAATATTTAAAAAAAAAATTCGAAATATTCAATGCCCTTCGCGCCCACTGCGTAAGGAGGCCACTACCCCTCTATCATCGAATTAGTTACTCGATGCGCGGCGTGGCGACCGCCGCCGGCATGTATTTTTATTTTAATTTCATGATATCTTTTGAATGACATGTCCGATTTCAATAATTAAAAAAGTAATCATCAAGTATTGAGACAGCCTTTAGTGAAAAAAGTAGTTATAGCGACGTAACTACAATAGTTAGACATATGCTCTCGCGATGTTTTTTGTAGATATTGATATATTCTATAATATTGTCGAACATTTTTTCTTCTATCATTAATACTTTAATTAATACTTTGGTTTTAATAAGAATTTCTATAGATGCCTATAGTAATCAAGTACTAAATAAATATAGTAGCTTTCTAATGAAAAAAGAATTATAAAAATCGGTCCAGTACTTTTTGAGTTTATCTGTTACATACAAAAATACAAATCTTTCCTCTTCATAATATTAGTATAGATGGGCCGGATGCCGTGACTCCACTGTTCCTATCGCAATTAAGGGTGTTGTAATGTAGTATGTATAAAAATATATTGTCAATTCCAACGGTAATCTTGTTTCATTGTGTGAAAGAAAATGTTTCTAGAAAAACCTTTTTGGTAAATTAACTTGATAAAAATAAAGATGTATGGATACAAAATTCTTAACGGTTGCAGCATTTCCTTGCTTATAATGATAATAGTTATTGTATTTTATATTTCATAATTAAACTGACTTTTGGATATCTTAGAAGAAGTTAACCCTAAAAAAGCTTTCTTTCATCATATTATCCGCCTTTAGCTTGATTTCTTATTAAATTCGTTTTGTGTCTTTTATTAAATTAGATTTTGATCATTATGTGTATTATGTTGATTTATTTTTAAAATTCTAAAATTTCTCTTCAGTGAAATTTTCATATTTCATTTTTTTATTTCCTATGGTACTAAATATTTTATTTGAAAATTTTGTTAATTTTTCCCGGGATTCGAACCAAACTTCCCTCGAGTTTAAAGCAATGTTATGCAAGAAGTTGATTCATCCTATCGTATCATTAGTTATTAAGTATACAAAGGCTGACAAATGAAAATACAATTTAGCTAAATAGCCTTTATTTATTAAATGGATTCTATCCAAACGTATTACAAACAGGCAAAACAAATACAGTTCAAGGGGATGATAGGAGATTCTAGATAGATCCTCATAGTATCTCCAACTTATGTCCGCTTTGGAATAACCAACACGTATTTTCAAACATATATAATATACAGATTCTATTGCAGTTAAGCCATCACTGGTATCACGAATAATTTAGTGGTGGTAGATGTGCGCCCACCAAGCACGGTGGCAGGGTGGTAAGAGAGGGCAGAGGAAATCTGTGTCCAGCACCTGAACATTAATAGGTTGAAACAAGAAATATAGAGATTTTAAACAAATTGATTTTACGTAGCATTCGGAGACAGTATTAGGTAACAAATACCTGAGCCCGAAGCTTTGATTTTGCAGTTGTTTTGTAATACGACTATTTCGACGTCGAAATAGTTTCCAAAAGCTTCGACTTAAAAGAGATTTTGGACAGATTGAGACGAAAACTTATATTCGAGTAGGTTAAATGCAAATCTATTTTTGTCCAAACTTTACTGTATAAAATGTATTACGGTTTCTTAGTTCAATGGTACTAATGACTTGATTAACAGACCGCAAGACCGAACTATTGTCTTTGTAAAATCTATTTTATATATTTTTACGGTGGAATTACATAATTCTACCACGAGAGGGTCACGAACCACCATATACGGATGGAAAAGTCGTGAATTGGAATAGCGTTTAGTTTCAAGCAAAATAGGTCAACAGTTCATTTTATTTGAATGTTATATAGCTGGAGTATTTATTATACAGTCGATCAAACCCCGACTTATATTTCTCAAAATACGTGTTGATATACCGCAGCGAATAAGGTTTACATGAAATTTTGCTTTTTGATCTTTATACAATTTAATTCATTCATAAAAAAAAGACTGTCACACATTGTGCAGAGTTAAACTCGTATGAATAAAGACTTAGCCTATTGTATCACGACACATAGTAACATTTATTTTTCCTTTAAACATGCATTTACGTACTATGAAGTGGACCGTGGACAGAATAGTGTTTTTATCGTAATACAAATCGTTTATGAAACTGTAGACCAAGTTAAACTGGGAATATTTCAATTCAATCGTTAAAAAAATAAATAGAAAATAGTTAAAGTTATAAGAATGTATCGAAACTTATTACTTTTGAGTTCAATTTCCTCAACTTCACCCGTCGATAGTGAACATAGCAAAGAAGAATGATGTAGCTTTCTGCCTTATAAGAAAGTGGAAACATGACTTTACACAACTAAATGCTTTTTAATTACGTATTAGTTTGTATCTATCCAAAACTTGTTCTTATTGAATGATATGACTGAATGATTGTGAATGTTTTAAGTCGTATGTTTATCGTCTTTGCTATGTTCTCTGTAACAGCAACAAAATCTGATTCTATTGTGCAATCTTGAGCTCTTTGTATATCTAAATATATTTCGTATAAAAACTTATAATACAAAAACTATAATGGATTACACGCCACTGTCAGTTAGTTTATTTTGAAGGAGCGTAAACAAATAACAGCGAAACTTTAAAAAAAAATGTTAAAATCTCATCCACCAAGCCCAGTGCCCCAAGTTTTGAACTACGGGCTTATCCAGATTTTATTATCATTGATTCATGATTTAACACTGCCTACGATTATTACTTGTTTACGCTCCTCTAGACATAGATAAAAGTAACATTTTTCTTAGAGCTATTAATAAGATAGTTGAATTCACATACAAAACACATACAGTAAGTTTTTAGATACAGGTTAAACCTAGCCACGCTTAACCTAGAACACGAAATGTTTTTAAATACGACAATATATGCCCAAATCCGGGTATACTCAGTCAATCCTTAATTGTATCCGTCTATACTACTCCTTCCCACCATTTTACCCAGATATCCGTATAACTATCACTAAAGACGACATTGATGTCCGCACTTATGCCCAGAATTACAATTTAATGATATAAATTAAATCCACATTAAAAACACACCCTGTACATGCGCACGTCAAAAGTGATTTGTAAAAGACGTTGACTTTCTCACCTCAGTGGCGTTTTAATGCCATGGTGCCAAGGATACAGGGTGTTCTAAATCTGTTGGTTCTAGCAGCGCGGCTATAAGTGCGGTTATAAAGTATGATAAATAGTTAATAAGTACGTTCCAACATTTTGTCTCCATTTACCGATCTTTACCAATTCTAAATATTAATTGTTCCACCTTAGTATAAGTCAAAACAAGGACACTTAGCAACTTAAAGGAGGACTGTATGCACTA